AATGAATGAGTTCTTAGAAAATAAAAAGGACAGAAAGGACAGAGATAGTTTACATGGACTTAGGAATTACTAATTGATGTGTTTTAAATTAGATCTTGAGTAACTAGTAGAATTTTGCCAAGTAGAGAAAGAAAAAAAAAGTTATAGGCAGCAATAATAACAGTGTTCTGTTGTTGTTTTGCTTGTTGAGTAGAAATTTAGATAATAATCAAATGCTATGTTCACCACTATACCACCAACGCAAATCAACAAACGACAAGTGTTTGTGAGGTTGCGGAGAAAAAGGAACCCTCGTGCATTGCTGGTGGGAATGTAGACTGGTGCAACTACTGTGGAGAACAGTATGGAGCTTCCTCAAAAAACTGAAAATAGAACTCCCATTTGACCCAGTAATCCCACTCCTAGGAATATATCCCAAGAAGCTAGAAACACCAATCAGAAAGGATATATGCACCCCTATGTTCATAGCAGCACAATTTACAATAGCTAGGATTTGGAAACAGCCTAGGTGCCCATCAGCAGATGATTGGATCAAAAAACTATGGTACATTTACACAATGGAATATTATGCTGCCATAAAAAAGAAGAAATTCTTATCATTTGCAGCAACCCAGATGGAATTGGAGAACATCATGCTGAGTGAAATAAGCCAGTCAATGAAAGAGAAACACCACATGACCTCACTCATTTATGGATAATAAAGAACATTATAAAGTGAAGAACCAAAAGATAGATATAGAGACAGTAAAGAACAAGCAAACTGTCAAATTACAGCAGGGAGGGTAGGGAGATCTGGGGTACATAAGAGATCATCGAAGGACTTGTATACATGTATATAAGTACAACCAATGGACACAAAACTCTGGGGAGGGAGGGCATGTATGGGAGAGGGTGCAATGGTATAAGTACAAAGATAATAATTTAATAAAAAATTTTAAAATAAATAAATAATAAATTAAAACAAAAAAGAAAGAAATGGATATAGAGCATGCTTATAAGGTTCTATAACCTCAGAACCATGGTTATAATGTTTTTCAAGAATTTTCTAGAAAAGGCCGATAAATTTATTGAGATCCTCAAGGATATGAAAAAGGATCAACTAGAAATTAAACATACACTGACTGAATTTAAAAATATTTTACAGAGACCTAAAACCAGATTAGAGGATCACAAAAATCAAATCAAATATTTGAGACACAAAGAAGAAAAAAACACTCCACTAGGAAAAGCAAAAAGAATCCAAAAATGTGTAAGGAGCCTCTGTGACAACTTCAAGCGTACCAACATCAGAATTATGAGGGTCCCAGAAGAAGAGAGAGAGCAAGATACTGAAAACCTATCTGAAGAAATAGTGACAGAAGACTTCCCCCACATGGTGAAAGAAATAGACTTACAAGTCCAGGAAACACACAGAAACCCAAACAAAAGGAATCCAAGAAGGACCACACCAAAACACATCATAATTAAAATTCCAAGAGCAAAAGACAAAGAGAATATTAAAAGCAGCAAGAGAAAAACAATTACCTACAAGGGAGCACCCATATAATTTAAGCTGATTTTGCAACAGAAACTATGCAGGCCAGATGGGAATGGCAAAAAATATTCAAAGTGATGAATAGCAGAAAACTACAACCAAGATTATTCTATCCAGCAAGGCTATCATTCAGAATTGAAAGTCAGATAAAGAGCTTCATAATAAAATAAAATAAAAAATAAAAAAAGCTAAAGGAATTCATCATTACCAAGCCAGAATTTCTTTCCTCAAGAAAGGAATTCTTTAAGAAGAGGAAAAGAAGGAAAAGATAAATATAAAAATTATGATCAAAAACTATGTTTCTATCAAGCGAATCTAAAAACCAAGGGAATAAAAAATCTGAGAACAGTATTAACTGGTGCATATAATAGAATCAGGGGCATAGAAGAGGAGTGGATTGACAATTCTCAGGGGAAAAGGGGAATGGGGGATGTAAGAGGAGACTGGACAAAAAGCGTGCACCTATGGATGAGGACAGTGGTGGGGAGATAAGGGCAGACAGTGGGATGGGAGCCTGGTGGAGGGGAGCTATGGGGGGAAGGAGGGGAAGAGAAACAATTGTAATAATCTGAACAATAAAGATTTATTAAATTATAAAAAAAAAAAAGAATATAAGTGTGCTGTGACCCAAAAAAAAGGGGTGTGGCAGATAAGAAATGCTTGTCAGGCCAAAGCTCCAAATATTCCTTATGGAAAAGATATATATCCCCATATTTTGTAGCCTTAGATTGCTATCTTTTTTATCCCTCGCTAGCAGTTTTTACTCATGCTATTGTCAGTTTGCCTCTATCACAATCTCTTCCTACATTTTAACTTATAATAGCTTATCTTCCAAAGGTTTAGAGACCAGATGAACAAAGTCATTAGAATTGTTTTCAAAATAAGAGTTAATGGGCTCAGAGGTGAGTCCTCAAGTGTCTCTTTATGAGTGAGGAGTATACACTTTCTACTTTTTAATGGATTTTATATTATCTCTTATGACCCTTTAAAGGGCATTTTTGCATATTTTCTGATATTTATTTATTTATTTACTACTTATCTACACTAACAAAAGAGAAAGATGCAAATCGACCATTCTCTGTGATGCCCATCTACCAATCAGGAGTGAATATGCAAATTAGCCCAACAAAGATGGAGGGTTGGTTTGCATATGAAGGCATAGAGTGGCCTGGCGGGGTGGGACACCTGCTATGAGGGGTGGGCAGCGGATAGAGGATGCTACTGGAGTGGGGCTCCGGCTGGGAACGAAGACCTGCAGGCTCTCAGGCAGCTGGGAATGAAACCAGGGAAAGGAAGGCCTATTCTTGCAAGAATCTTCATGCAATGGGCCTCTAGTTTATTTATAACTGCCTTCTTAATAGAGCATATACCATTGTAATTTCAAGAACCAAAGACTATGACCAGTAAATGCCATGGACATTACTTTAAGTAAAGGTTACACTTTTGTGATTTTCCTAAATTTAAGTGGTTTTCTGAAGTGAGACTGGTGGTACATGTTCTTTTGAAAATGGAAACAACAGAAAATGAAAAGAGCTGACCAATTAGTTGTAAGTTGCTTTCCTGGACTTATTAGAGTACTGGTACATTATTTTACCTTTCTCCCTGCAATACCTCTCTGATCTCAAATAAGTACTTTGGCTTCTATGGTAGAGTATAGGGAAACAGAAGGAAAAAAAAATTAGAACACAAAACTAAGTAAACACCCACAGAGAGCATATACTGTGCAACATTCCAAGTCAGATTATGTTCAAAAGAATCACAATATTAATAAAATAAACTTTTAAAAGCTTTGTTTTAGCTAGTAGTTTATATCTTCTGTAAATAATAATTTGTACTTGTTGGCTATTTTTAAAATATTCTTCATAAGTGGTGGAATTGGCTGACTAGGGGAATTTCATAAAGGGGGTTATTCTAGTGACACTGCCCCAGAGTGTCTATGTAATTCTTCTAATGAGAGAGGTGAAGAAATGACATTGATGAGTGTTATTATATTCATCTAATCAAGAAGTCAGCCTTAAAAGAAAGAGGTGAAAAGCATGATAAAATCAAAGAGATTGAGTAGTAAATTCTTCAAGACTGGTGATACCTTGTCCTGCTTCATAAGAAAAGCAAAAAGATTCTTAGAGAATTGTGATTATTGAGATTATTAGCTAATAACCAACACTATTGAATGCTTACCATATGCATGGTTGGAACTACTCTAGCCTCCATTGTACAGAAAAGGAATTCGTTACAGTTTGGTGGATGATGGAGCTGAACTTCAGGCTCAGGTTTGTCCAACTCCGGAGCCAGCAGATCTCTAATTGTGGATAAATAATTTCCTCAACGCTTGGCACCCCCAGACCGACATAGCAACTCAAGGATGTCACCAAGGAACCAGCTCCTCCAGTTTTACTTATGTACCTTTGGTGTAGGACCTTTTAATCTCATGGTTGAAAGATGGGTGCTGGCTCTTCAGCTATGTACCTACATTCTAGGAAGAAGAAAGAAATATTAGAGGGTAAAGAGTAAACAGTATGATCCTTGAAAGCCTTGCCTCATTGCTTGGGAATGAAATTCCCCCGAGAGATTCCTATTACAGAGAACTGTGACCCTTGGCCACCTCTAACTGTAAAGTGGCTAAGAATTGGAGTACTTGGCTCTGAGCCTACAGAGCATAGGAAACCTAGAGAGAAGGGATTGAAGTGGGTGTTTATGGGGTATGCCTTACAGGGTTTGGTTTTTTTTTTTTAGTTATTTTGTGTAAGTTTATTTTTCCTGGGATACTGTAAACCTATAGAGAACAAAAAATATGTTTTCATATCTGAAGTGCCCACTCTAAAGGGCAAGTGACTACCATGGATAGCACTTATTACAATATCTAAGACATTGTGGCTTCTCAGATCAATGTTGGTGGTGGTGGTTTAACTTTAATTTAGAAATAACAGCCATGTAAGAATTAATGACCCTAGTTCCTCTGAAAGTGATGGAATCTGTAGATTTCTCTCTGGTGACTTATTTCCTCATATCAATACTGGAAAATTACCTGGAGCTTTTGTGCTTCATCGAAGCAGAGAAGACAATTTAATGGTAGTATTACTTGGAATATTTGAAGTATAAGTCACAAAAACAAGGTGGAAATAAATCATAGAAAACAATGATGGTCAACAAGGACTTTTTCAAGAGAGGTAAAAAGATAGAAAAAAAATAGAATAAGATATTGTAATCAAAGAAAAGATTAACGATTAAAAACTAGGAATAGTCTAAAGTATTTTGGCCATTCAGAGTTCTAAGGGGAAAAATAAGTACAAGTCATTCATTTGAATTGCTCAAATTGCTATTTAATTTATTTGTTTAAATCTCAGATTGCCAAAAGAGGAAATATAAATAAATAAATCTCCGATTGCCATTTTGAATCTATACTGTTTCTCCTTCAGAACAGATCTTGTTTGTTGCCCCTCTGTCATCTTATTCTTAACTATAAATCATGAGGGGTGGAGATAAAACAGTTGAACATGAAGATTTGGAACCATCCACAGGGGTGAATCACACAGCCTCTGCGAATCAACAAATACAGGTAAATCTGAAATCCTATGAAGTTCATCCCAACTATTTCCTTAAGGAAAGGACTATACATATTTGTTTCCAAATCTATGATAGAATTGTTTTCTTTTCATTATATCACTCACTTAACAATTCTTCCTGTTCTTTTATTTTTAATTATGTTTTTATTGATTTCAGGAGGAAGGGAGAGCGAGAGAAAGATAGAAACATTAATAATAAGAGGGAATCATTAATTGGCTTCCTCCTGCATGCCCCCTACTAGGGATCCAGCCCATAACCCCAGCATGTGCCCTGACTGGGAATCAAACTGTGCCTTATGGTTTACAGGTCGAAGCTCAAACATGAGCCACACAATATGGGTACTTATCCCTGTTCTTCATACATTCCAGGGTAGGTGTGACTACCAGTTTTCCCAGATAGTCATTAGTAGCTGGCCCAACATAAGGCTAGAAATATAAAGAGCCTGTGAATTTTTTTATGTTTCCAGTCAATCCCTTACTATATCTAGCAGGTTTTGTTGTTGTTGTTGTTGTTGTTGTTGTTCTTGCTTTAATTTAAGCAGATGAATAAGTGAGAATTTATTTTCAGCAAAGATAGTTATCTTCTTCTGGATTACTTTTATATATTTACCAACTATTGCCTTAAATTATATCTTTTTGTTTGTTTGTTTGTTTGTTTTTAATCTTCACTTGAGGCTATGTTTTATTGACTTTTTAAAGAAAGAAGCAGGGAGAAAGAGAAACATTATGAGAAAGAAACATGATTGGTTGCCTCCCATACACACTTTGACCAGGGATGAACCACAAACTAGGTATGTGCCCTAACCAGGAAGCAAACCTGCAGCTTTTTGGTGTATAGGACAACTCTCCAACCAGCAGAGCCAGGGCTTGAATCATATCTTAAGTAGGCTCACTTTTAAACCCAGGATTGTAAAACATAATGAAATTTTATGTGACTCAAACATTTATAAAGAGACAAATAATGACTCAATGGTAAATATACCCAACATAGTTCTTGTTCCAAGTATTAGTTGATTAACTAATAATAAAGCCGTACATTTCCTGGTACTAGCTTTGATTGTAGTAATGGGAATTTGATTTGTGATGTGATGGTTCAGTAACTTAAAAAAAACAAAGTATAACAAATATACTATTTTAAGTATTTTTTCTTTCTAAAAATTTCCTTAAACACAGGAGGTACCTGTTACAAACCAATTAGGATTAGATGAAAATGAATCACCTGAAGGAAGTAGCGTTTTGACCAGCAGTGGGGAAAGACTACAAGAAACAAGAACTGAATTAAACCATTTGCAAAGACTAAGGCAAACATGTGCTTGCCCTCCACATGGCTTACTGGATAAAGTAATAACAAATGGTATGTAAGTAATAAGGATGAATTCAGAAACAGAGAGTAAAATATGAAGTTGTTATATAATGGGAGATTCTAAATAACATGGTTTAAAGAACAAAAAGAAGTTACTTCTCTTTCACATAAAAACTACTAGGTGGAGAATTCACAATGGTAAGTTGCTCTGCTCCATACAGTCATTCGGGAGCCCAGGCTGAAGGACTCCACCATGTTTGACACCAGGCTCCCAAGAGCGCTGTGGTCATTGCCATTCCGGACACCTGGAAGAGGCAAAGAGCAGGAATCGAGGACCTTTTCCTTTTTTGTATCTGAGTTATTGCACAGGATTATGTTAGGGCTCCAATGAGAAAGTGATTGAGAACTTGTTTGTAAAAGAAAAGTACAACATAAGTGTTGCTTGTTACCGTGTTTCCCCGAAAATAAGCCATCCTCCGAAAATAAGACCTAGCGCATGGAAAGATAAGACATCCCCTGAAAATAAGACCTAGCACAACTTAGGGAGAAAAAATTAATATAAGACACTGTCTTATTTTCGGGGAAACAGGGTATTACTGTGAGTTAATGCAACTAATGTTCGAGGGAACACAGCTCAGTTTGTACTTACGAATGAATCATGTCATTTTATAAGTAAAGATCTTGATTTGCAATTCAACTTATTTCAATAAAGATGCTATTAATTAAAATATTTGGGGGATTTTTCTTTGGAGAATTGATTTCAACATGGTTTTGAATATTGTTAGGGTTGAGATCTATTTGTCTTTTAGGCATGGATTTAGCTTTTGGAGGCTGCCAAACATTATTCTGATAGCAATTTGATGAATAAATGGATATTCAAATTGAGTAATGCTGGGTTTTGTTCGAGAAAGTAGTGCATGTGTTTGTGTTTATGTGTGTGTTATGGATATTGGAAAAGGTGTAGTATAACAGGAAAAGGGGAAAAGGGTTTGAAAATTGCCTGTAAAGACAAATTTAAAAACAAATTCACAATTGCATTGAGGAATGACAGCATCATCAAAATAAATAGTCTCCCAAAGAAAATATGTTGAAAAATGTAACACATCTGATCTAGAAATTATGTTTATTGAAAAATCAGACTCACTTGTTTGTAGTTGTATTTCAATTGTGAGCTCTAAACATTTTTATCATTCTCAACCAGGGCAATGGACGCCAAGTCTAACACATTATACTGTAGGGCCTTTATGTTTTCAATAAAATTAGGTATGTTTCTAAACTACCATGAGAAAAAGAAACCTCAAACTTCATGTAAAAACACACAGAGAAAACCATGTTCCAAAATATATCCATATTGTCAATATAGCTACAGATAATTTAATACCTTTTCTATCTTTTGTATAATTTTTTTTAAAACTTGCACCATTTAAATTATGGCACATTTCTAGTTAAAACATTTACAGTAAAACAGATAAATATGGAGTATAAATTAATGATGTGATTTGAGACTAATTTTTTTTAATTCTATAGTCATTGTCCATAAAGGTGCCAGAGAAATGTGACTCAGTGTATAAATACCTCTTCACTTATTTTCCTGTACTTCTATTTCTAAGGCTTACAAGACTGCTTTTTTCCTATACTACTTCCTGCGCCCATTCAGAATAAATAAGTATTCTTTTTAAAAAGTAAATGTTACATGTGAATATGCAAATTACCAAAATCATAAATAAGAAGTAAATTTGTGGTCTCGATCCCCAGTAGGAAGGCAGCCAATCAATGATTCTTTTTCACTGATGTTTCTCTCTCTCTCTCCCTTTCCTTTCCTCTCTGAAATCAATAAAAATGTATTTTTTAAGTGTTCTTTTTTTTAAGATTAAAGTCTTGCTGAAAAAGCTGAAATCTCTGTGGAAGTGCCTTCTTTTTAGGCAGTTAGTTGCTGGTTTAGGAACTACATAAGACTTTCTACCTCACGCTACCTAATGAAACCATATGTCAATGAACTTTCTACCTCACGCTACCTAATGAAACCATATGTCAATGAAGAAGCTGACAGTACAGATGAGGAAGCTGCCAACACTTTTCACTCAATTAAAACAACATTTGATTGATGGAAAAGACTGCCAATTATAGATGGAACTCCTCTCTATTTAAAGCAAAGCTATCAAGATCCTCCATCTTGAAACACTATAACCCTGGTTTCAGGGTTATAGTGTGCAAAGAAGAGACTAAGGGAGAGAGACAAATGTCAGTGGAGATTTAACTGTGTTGGTACTTTTTTAAAGGATTTTTATTATTATTTTTGTTAGTGCTTTGGTCACAAGTTTTATGATTAGAGTGGGTCTGGCCAACTCTGTTTTCCCATGAGCCTTTCTATTTTCAGTGTATAGTTTTGTAGAAAACAAGGTTTTCAAACAGGAAAAAGTATTTTACATTCTAAGAAATGCCTCTACTAAAGGGAGTACTTCAAGCAACTATTGTCTCAGGTGAAAGGTGTGAGATGCCATAATGAATGATGATTAAAAAAAAAAAAAATAGATAAAACCCAGCTGGTGTGGCTCAGTGGTTGAGCATTGACCTATGAACCAGAAGGTCATGATTCAATTCTCAGTCGGGACACATGCTTGGGTTGTGGACTCAATCTCCAATGGGTGCCGTGCAAGAATCAGCCAGTCAATGATTCTCTCTCATCTTTGATGTTTCCATCTCTATCTCCCTCTCCTTTTCTCTCTGATATCAATAAAAATATATTTTAAAAAGTAGGTAAGTATGTGGTAATTCTAAACAAACATTGACTGTAGAAAAGAAACAATAATACTGTCTACTTCAAGGCAGAACTAAAATACTGGTGTGTGATTGACTGTTCAAGTATTCTCAGGTTCCTGTGAAGATGGTAAAGATAGTGATTCTCTTTTTAATATTAACTACTGGGATACTTATGGTAAAACTATAAAGAAAAATAAGAAAATGGAAAAAAACAAAAAACAAAAACACCACAAAACATTCAAAATGTAGTTCTCCTGGCAGTGTGAGAGGAAATGGGGATGGGACTAGGAGCGAGGCACTTAGGTGGATTCAAAGCCAGGGGTAACAGTCTCTTTCTTCAGGTGTTGGTAATTCCGATTGTTCATAGTACTTATGTTCTTAAACTTACACATGGTTATAAGTACTTGTATACATATTCAATGTTTTTTTTTAATTTAGGTTATATTTAAACCTGCATATAACAATTTATTGATAGAAACTCGTTTTCCTGGTTTATTTCAGTGACCATGGTTGTTCTCCTGTGGGCTGTAGTTTGGTCAATCACTGGCAGTGAATGTCTTCCTGGAGGAAACCTGTTTGGGATTATAATCCTTTTCTATTGTGCTGTCATTGGAGGTAAACTTTTTGGGCTCATCAAGTTACCTACGTTGCCTCCACTGCCTCCTCTTCTTGGTAAGTGCTAAACACTTCCTGTCTTCTTCCCTGCAAATCCTGTTTTAAGAATAGTAGTTTTCCCAAAGTTTGGGAAATAAAGGAATAAACTATTTCTGCATTTTCTGTGCTTGAGCTACAAGTAAACACTGAAAATTAAATTTTGAAAAATTTTGTGAGCCCGTTGTGAAAAATGATGATTTCAAAAAATTAAATTACAAATACTTAGAGTTAAGTAATCTGCATTGAAAACAAGAGCAATAAATACTTAAAATTGATCATAAATCTGATCCTAAATCTTTTTGCTCTATTTCTCCTTATTGCTGCTCTTGAGATTATGGAAATACTACACAATAGTGTGACACTGCTTGTTTCTTTCAACTCCACATTTGGTGATATCATATCATGTTCATAGCTTACCATGGGCCAGGATAGAAGTATTTATAAGACAGAAACCAGCATATGCTACAAATCACGATTTGATATCTTGTAAGTTACTCACATCTTTGACAAACAAGTGAGATTCCAACACATATTTTCTTCTTATTCATTTATGTAAATAAACGAAACTATCAACCAATATTTCTGGTGATGCTAGTACTCACTTATCAGTGATATGAGTGATTTATTTGCTAATTTATTTCAATAAGGATTTTCTTCTAAACTTGGAAGCATTTGAAATAAAAGTGGCTTTTTGTTGATAATTCTTGTATATTTAAAAAAAACTTTCTATCATACAAATTAAGGGGGTGGGGGAGAATATACCTTGTCAAAGAAGATGTTCTTTCCTTTACAACCAAGGCAGATTTTCCTGTATGCTGAGAGGCAAGAAGAGGACACCTGCCATATCAAAGTAGGTGGCCACATCAACCCAGACCTCGGGCAAAGGAAACACAGTCCCAGGGAAATTATTTTTATATTCATTTGGAGAATAAAAAGTCCTCCTTCCATAAGATATTTTGAGATTTCATAAGATTATTATTCATTTTGATTTCAGGTAGTTGTATGCTTTAATCATTATAGTAATGATTACCCTACCTGGTTTTGCTCAGTGGATAGAGCATTAGCCTGAAGACTGAAGGGCCTGGGGTTCAATTCTGGTTGAGGACACATGCCTGGGTTGCAGGCTTAATTCCCAGTGTGGGGCATGCAGGAGGCAGCCAATCAATTATTCTCTCTCATCATTGATGTTTCTATCTCTTTCTCTCTCCCTTTCTCTGTGAAATTAATATATATATATATATATATATATATATATATATATATATATATATATATATATATAGCACTGATTTACATCCACATTTTAAGTTTCAGTAAGAAACTATTGACATAGAATGAAATGTATGGTTAGTGCAGCATTTTGGCCAAAGACTCATCGATACCTATTAAAATGTTATATGCACCTGTACTCTAGAGCCTAATATTTCCACTTCTATGAATTATTCTGTGGATATCCTATATAATAAAGAGTAATATGCAAATTGACTATCACTCCAACACACACAAGATGGCCACCCCCGTGTGGACACAGATGGCCACCACAAGATAGCTAGCAGAGAGGGCAATGTGGGCAATCAGGCCAGGAGGAGAGGGCAGTTGGGGGGATCAGGCCTGCAAGGGAGGGCAGTTGGGGATGACCAGGCCTGCAGGGGAGGGCAATTGGGTTGGGGGGAACCTCAGTCACACTCAACTACTTTCAGGTCTCAAATGTGTTCCATTTTCTCTTCCTACCTTGGAAGAAACTTCTGTGTCTTCCATAAACTTCTCAGCTCTCCTAACACTGCCTTTCTCCCCTTCCCCTTCTTGGACCTCTGGAACTCATCTCTCCAGTCTCAGTTCATACTTGTGCTTTCATAACATTGAGACTGTCAGTCCATCTTGCTCCTCTACAGGCTGAAAGCAGTACTGAGTCCTTGTTCATTATCTCAAACTAAAATTTGTGTACATTAAAAGGGAATTAATTAGAAGAAATATTTTAATATTGCTGTTTGCCCTTCCTCTATAATAGAAGTGTCAGCAATGAAAGAAAATTAGTAAAATATGCCGGGACCGGTTTGGCTCAGTGGATAGAGCGTTGGCCTGTGGACTGAAAGGTCCCGGGTTCGATTCCGGGCAAGGGCATGTACCTTGGTTGCGGGCACATCCCCAGTAGGGGGTGTGCAAGAGGCAGCTGATCGATGATTCTCTCTCATCGATGTTTCTAACCCTCTATCTCTCTCTTCCTCTCTGTGAAAAATCAATAAAATATATATTTTTTAAAAATAAAAAAATAAAATAAAATTAGTAAAATATATATGAAAATCTTCCTCCTGTCAGAGTCTGGAGCACACCACAGGACCTAGAGTCAAGTCTCTGCCCATCGGCGTGCATCTCGAAATCATGAGAGACCCAGACCCAGCTGGTCCCACCCCCATTCTGTGAGATCCAGACCTGGCCAGCCCCACCCCTGTCAAACCCCACTGGGCGGGGGGCAGGGCCTGAGGCCCCCAATCAAGCCTCAGGTTCCCTGCCCCAGCCCGAGGCCACACAGCATCAGGTCCCTGCTCATTGCTTGTTACAGGAACCCCGCCTCCACTGTGGCCATAGCTATCTTGTGACAAGATGGGTTGAGGGTTGAGGGTCAATTTGCATAGTACTTCTTTATTATAGGATTATATAATATACCCACTACAGCAAGCATGTCAAACTCAAAGGCTAACACGGGCCAAATAAACATGGTTTAAGTTTATGTGGGCCCCAACAAAACAAAAGCTTCAATTTTCATAGAAACATAGGTTTATTTCGATAGAGACATGCTGTGTACAAAGGGTTGAAATAAATGAGTAATAGTTAACATAAAATAATAGAATATTTTAATAAAAATTATTATTTTTTTCTTGAACATTAACTTACCAGACACTGAATAACTGCACAAATTAATAAGTGTAAGGCAATGAACCTATTTTTCTTGTTCTCTCAAAGCAAAAAACTTTCTATTGTGCACACCAAACAAGTCAGTCCAAGACTAATGACCTGGCAATTGGCTGCTAAAATATTCGCTACTAGAATTAGTGGAGAGAAGTGGTATGCCTGTAAATAAGGCGCATAAGGGAAATGATGCAAGATGATTATAGCAATCATTCATTAGTGAATATTGTAGTTTGTTATTAATAATCATGTATAACAGGATATTATAAAAATTAAGCTAAGGAATTTTTATTAAAATGTTTCTTACCTACCGTTATATTGGCTGGGCTGCATGCAGCCCACAGGTCATGACTTTGACATGCCTGTACTACTGAAGGCAGTGGTATGTGTTTAATGACTAAATGAAAAGAGGCACCAGCTGACAAGATAGAACAATATCCAATTCACCAAAACTCACTTAAGCCTTTGTAACGCAGCTTATGGATTTTTGTTTTTATTAAATCATCTTGTTTGAAGGTAAAATAGAGCCTAGATAGGTGTTTATATTTACTTCAGGTAATCTGACTTAGCAAATAATTTCAGGAGCTATTTGTGCTTGCACATAAAGTGGTGACTGAATTGGACATTTTATTAAAACGTTTAATATTTGATCCCACTTTCTAGTACTGCCTCCTATGTTTCTCTTTCAATTTCAGTCATTCTAATAATTATTTTAATCTATCCTTTTATTCTGCATTCTAAAGCTTTTTCTTTGCTCCTTTATTATATTAGTGTTAACTTAAAGTTTAATGTAACGTTGTCTGAGGGCTACGCATAAAGGAAGTGGCTCCTAAGATTACAGAGTAGTTCTCTCTCACGTCCACAGGGCCAAAAAGTGTTTTCTGTATTTGGAGACTCTCTAAAAGGTTGTTTGACTTCTCCATTCCAGGCATGCTGCTTGCTGGGTTTCTCATAAAAAATATTCCTGTCATCAATGATAACGTACAGATCAAGCACAAGTGGTCCTCCTCGTTGAGAAGCATAGCCCTGTCCATCATATTGGTTCGTGCTGGCCTTGGGCTTGATTCAAAGGTACTGAGGTTGTAGATGTCTCACTGTTGCCTCGGAATGTTATTCTTCCAATTCCCAAGTACTTAGAGTCACTGAGCTTTAGGAAATGGATGTGGACATTGCATGGCATTCTCAAAAAGACAACAGAATTTATTTCAAGCAGGACTGTCCCCAGAAGATGTCCCCATACCCTTTCTTAGAGAAAGGTGGAGTTACTGCCTGTTTGGGGACAGCACCAAGAATAAAGCCCCTCCCTTTCTCTGACAGAGATATAGGCCATAGTTATAAGTAATGAGCATGAGAGAAACACCACATTTTAAAATAGACATATTTTATTGATTTTTTTACAGAGAGGAAGAGAGGGATAGAGAATTAGAAACATCGATTAGAGAATCATTGATCAGCTGCCTCCTGCACACCCCCTACTAGGGATGTGTCCACAACCAAGGTACATGCCCTTGACTGGAATCAGACCTGGGACCTTTCAGTCCGCAGGCTAATGCTCTACCCACTGAGCCTAACCGGTTTCGGTGAGAAAAACCACATTTTTGATGCACAAAACCCTATACAGGTGAGGTGTTCAGGGATAACAATACTGGCTTAGTAAACGTGTATAGAATGAGTCTCAAATGTGTTTTTCTAAAATGCTTTTATTCATGTATGTTTTTGAATATAGAATGAATATGCTTGGGGATGAATCTTTAACCTGGGTTCATGCTGGGGTTACAGGTTATGCATAATGCCAACACTGAGAAGGTTAAGCTGGTGTGGAGATTATGAGCCGCCTTCCTGGATTCAAACCTAACTCCACCACTCACCAATTTCATGGTCTTGGGCAAATCAATCACTTGAACTTGTGCCTTTTCAGATGGACACATCTAAATAACGGTGGTAATAATAGTACCTGTATTGTAGGGTTGCTATGAGGACTAAATAAGCTATCCCTAAAACTCTTAAAACACTGAAATGTTTGCGGAATGAAACGCATTACCTGGTACCTTCATGATGATCCAGACATGGTCTGAATACTGAAGAAAAAGAATTTAATGTCGTTTTCCCTCTGTGTCTTTAGCAGATTGTTTTAGAGTGTCTGTTTTTATATTTCAGGCCCTAAAGAAGTTGAAGGGTGTTTGTATGCGATTATCCATGGGTCCTTGTCTTGTGGAGGCATCCACGTCCGCTCTTCTTGCCCACTTCCTGCTGGGTTTACCGTGGCAATGGGCATTTATACTGGGGTAATGATTTTTCCTTGTCATATGAAAATATGCATGGATATTCAGAACTTTCTCTAATTTGATACAAGAGAATGCATAATAGCGTTTTCTTAAGGACATCAGAAGATACAAGATGGATATAGTAGCACAATATTATAAGTATTAATATTCCAACATGTATATATTTTAACTTCAAAATAGAGTATACATCCTTGTCAATACCAACTTTTACAGTGGTTGTAATAATTTATACGATTGAGGAAGTAATAGACTTTTTACCTACATCTGACCTCGTGCTGCTGAGAGAGCAGCTGGATCTCACTCCAGAGTCTGCACAAAGGATCATAGATACATCAGCAGTGATCACCTGGTCCTGTTTTCCTCTAGACTATTGTGATTACGGGATTTTGCTGCCTCTTCCTTGCACTGTCAGTTCCTATTTCCGAGGGCTGAGAGCCAGGAGTGGTAAATAAATATAAATTGCTGAGTAAAATTGTGGTGCTAATAAGTAGGTGAGAAGTCAGTTATTACTTCTCATGGTGAAGACTCTGGAGCTATATTCTGCCTGGACTCGGTCCCAGCTCTGTGACTTTCCAGTGTGTGATCTTTGGCAAGTTACCTAAGATCTCTCTGTGCCTCAATGTCTTCATTTGCAAAATAAACAGAATGATTCTAGCTACCTCATAGGGTTATTGTGAGGATTAAATTATTTAATATATGCAAACCGCTTAAAATGGGGTTTGGCAGATGGTAGGCACTATGACATGCTCCTTCTATTACTATTGCTGCTATTCCTAGTATCTGTCAGGATTGTCTTCCCCTCCCCAGCCTGTTGTCTTATTTTTACATGCCAAGCCCCGATAGAAGACCTGAGATCACTGAGTTCTAATCCACAGATCCATGGCCATCTTTTTAAAAAGGCAAGATCCTGGAGCCTAACCCCATTAGTGCAGATATATATTAAGTGCAGATATATATTAAGAAGTGCAGGTGGTTTGTGGCCACAGTTTGCAAAGTGTTCTGTAGCACTTGTATGTGTGTATGTGTTTCTGGTTTGATGCATCATTGCCATTTGAAAGACTATGTTAGGTGTGTGGTCTAAAAAAGCAGAGGTTATTGTAATGTCATAATAATGATGACGAGTGAGATGCTACCATAAATGTTTGAAGCACTGCCTGCTTAGTTTTGTTGTAGGTGCTGTCTCTCCAGCTGTCGTGGTGCCTTCAATGCTCCTTTTGCAGGAAGGAGGTTATGGTGTTGAGAAAGGTATCCCAACCTTGCTCATGGCAGCTGGCAGCTTCGATGACATTCTGGCCATCACTGGCTTCAACACGTGCTTAGGCATGGCCTTTTCCACAGGTAAACCCATCAGTTCACCAAGTGCTGTTCTCTGCGCTCTAGAGACAGATTGTGATGTCATAAGTGTGGCATATTTGCTTGGTGATTGGTAAGGCAAATCAAAATAGAGAAAGCAACCCAAGAGATAGGTCCTTACCAAAGGGGGAGCCAGGAGCTTCCTAGCTTACTCCCTTCATCCTCTAGATACAGACTGTTCAAATAGCATGGGAGGTGCACGAAGGGGATGCACAGTAGCAACGTTTAAAGGAAAAGAGCTTCTGTGTGGAGACTTCACACAAGGGATGAGTAGGTTTTTCAATGAGCCCAAATGACAGAACATTCCAAGTGGAAGGAAAAATTTTTGTTTTCTCATCTTTAACATTTTATGAGTATTAACAACAATGATTTTAATAAATAGCCTATTAACACTTGATAACTAACTGCTTTTCTCTTGCTGTTTTTAAGATTCTCTTTGTCTTTTGCTCTTGGCATTTTAATTATGATGTGTCTTGGTGTGGTCCTCTTTGGATTCCTTTTGTTTGGGGTTCTTTGCACTTCCTGGACTTGTAAGTCTATTTCTTTCACCAGGTAAGGGAAGTTTTCTGTCACTATTTCTTCAAATAGGTTTTCAGTATCTTGCTCTCTCTCTTTTTCTGGCACTCCCATATTTCAGATGTTGGTACACTTGAAGTTGTCCCAGAGGCTCCTTACACTATCTTCATATTTTTGGATTCTTTTTCCTTTTTTTCCCCAGTTGGGTGTTTTTTGCTTCCCTGTATTTCAAAGCTTTGATTTGATTCTTGCAATCCTCTAGTCTGCTGTTGGATCTCTGTAAAATATTTTTTTAATTCAGTCAGTGTATGCTTAATTTCTAGCTGGTCCTTTTTTATATCCTCAAGGGTCTCACTAAATTTATTGGCCTTTTCTAGAAAATTTTTGAAAAACCTTATAACCGTGGTTTTGAACTTTATATCCAGTCATTTGCTTTCCTCAATTTCTTTCATTTGTGACCTGCCTCTTTGTCTCTACATTTTGGCTGCTTCCCTGAGTTGATAGAGTGGCTTTGTGTGCTAGGTGTCCTATAGGGCCCAGTGGCTCAGTCTTCCTGAGGTGGACACTCTTGATGTATCCCTTTGTGGGCTGTCTGCAAGTCTTGTACTTAAGCCTTCATTGCTGTTTGTATCACTGGAAGGAATTGGCCTCCAGGACAATTGGATGTGAGGACCAGTTGTGTCTGTAAAGGAAGAACTTCTATGATGGAGACACCCTTATGGGGCAGGACTTGCTTCAGTGGGGCTTTGGTGCTCACTAAGTCTGCCCTGAGTGTGCCTCTTATAGATGTGAAGATTTGTAATCTGGTATGGTCTCACACTGACCACTAGGTACACTGGCTCTTGGATCTCCAAGGAAGTGCAAAGTCAGCCACTGCCTGAGGCCCCCTAGCAGATTCCTCCTCTTTGTTAAGAGTATGGAGGTGCCCAGATGAGGGCCAGCTGTGAAACAATGCAAGCTGTGCTAGAGCCTGGGCCTTCTTTTGGAAGCTCTGGGGATCTCTGACCCAGCAGCAGTTTGTTAGGTTTTAGATTGCAAAAGGCCAGGCCATTCATATGCAAAAGCCTCTGTGCACAGCTTGGTGGGGTTGTAAATTGGGTGGGGCAGGGTCTCAGGGAATCACCAGGGTGGAGCAATTAGCAATTGCTGTCCATCAGCCCTACCCCAGGTCTCTGTGTCCTTCAGCACCATGCAGGAACAATGATTGCTGCAAGCACCTCTGAGCAAAAGCTTCCCTTGCATTCCAGCCCAATGCCGGACAATCCAGTTTCTCTCCATATGAGCCTGGGCACCCAGAGTCTCAGCCGGAACTGGAATTCAGAGCATTTGGGAGCTTGTATTTCCCTTCCAATTGAAAAAGACAACAGCTTATCCATTTTCCAGCCCCTTTCTTGCTTGCCTTCATACCTCCCTACTTCCACACCTCTGCACCTCCTATTGGATTCAATGTGCTTTTCTCTCTCCTTCTAGTTGTAGAATTTCCACTCAGCTAGCCTTTCAGTGGTTCTGGATGATATCAATTTTGTCTTTTAGTTGTAGTTTTGATGTGGTTTTGCGTGGCAGCTAGTTCAGGTATTTACCTATGCCACCATCTTGGTTGTCTCGGATACTTAACTACCTTGTTTCCCCGAAAATAAGACAGTGTCTTATATTAACTTTTTTCTCCCAAAGTTGTGCTAGGTCTTATTTTCAGGGGATGTCTTATCTTTCCATGCGCTAGGTCTTATTTTCGGAGGATGTCTTATTTTCGGGGAAACACGGTATTAACATTTACAGTGCCCAAAGATAGTAGGCCAGGAACAAGATAACAATGAGGGGCTTGTGATCTGATGGGATGCTCTGAGGGAGCTGGAAAATGAGATTGCTCTGATGTTGCAAAGGTATGTTATCTTAGATGGGAAAAGATAATAGGCTCATCAGGGTAAAGACTGACATTTGTCAAGGAAGCTACAGGCAAAGGATGTGACTAAACACCATAACACACACTTTTTTTTTTATATATATATTTTATTGATTTTGTACAGAGAGGAAGGGAGAGAGATAGAGAGTTAGAAACATCAATGAGAGAGTCATTGATCAGCTGCCTCTTGCACACCCCCTACTGGGGATGTGCCTGCAACCAAGGTACTTGCCCTTGACCGGATTCGAACCCAGGACCTTTCAGTCCCCAAGCCGACGCTCTATCCATTGAGCCAAACCAGTTTTGGCCATAACACACTTTTAGTTAGGAATTTTTATTATTCAGACCATCCTATGTGGTTATATCTGGTCTCTGAGTTTGTAAGATCTGCCATGCAGTGTTGTGGGGTTGAATCCTGGGTTCAAAATAAGACCACCGGAGGCTGATGGTTAATTAAAAAAAGCAGGCAAGGATTTATTGAAATAAAAACTGGCCAGGACAGCCGCGAGAGCACCACACACAGGTGGTCTCCACACGACTGCACTGTTCCAGGTGTAGGCAAGTCTTTTAAAGGCCTAAACCGCAAGAATTTTCCTTTGTTCCTAAATCTTAAAGACTAAATTATAAAGACTGGGGACAGCCCATAGGGTTGGTTCCCAGTCACATCCTGCTGGACATCAGAATGTGGCCCTATCTTGCAATAGCTGATAACACAGAAGCAGAGCTCAGCGGTTAGTCTCTAAAGGTTATCTACAGTGTCTATCCCTGAAGCTACTGAGTCAGTGGGAATCAATCTCTTGGGGTCCTGGTCCCAGACAAGGGAAAATTGCCTGAGCCTCCAGATCTCTACCTGGAAGCTGAGGTAAGTATTCCATGTTTAATCAGGCAGGAGCCAAACTTAGCAGGGTTAAAATTCAAACAGCAATTTTTACCAAAGTATGGTTGCCACTATATTTCAGCAGGCCTCTCCTGAGTTTGTCAGGTTTAGTATGAGGTTGCTTTTTTCCACACTAGAATTACAGAGGGAGTGGGGGAATTAAAAAAAAAATTCATATATGGGCTCTACCTTAGACCAGTTAAATCAAAACCTATGGGAATAGAAAACACAACTTTGGAGTGTTAAAAAAAAAAAAGTCAACCAAGTAAACTTGAACATCTAATCAGCCTTATTAAGTGATTCATGAATCAGGTAGCATCCCATCTAGCAACTAGGAGGCACTCTATGGGGTTGTACAAAATGGAAGTTGTCATAGGAAGAAAGAAGATTTAATAAAACAAAAGAAAGGATTATTTTTAGAATAAATTGTCTTTTGGGGTGTGAGGTGGAAGACAAGAATTTTTATCATGCAGATTGCCTATGAATAAGATTGTATTTCTGAGAGATGTTGAAACTGCAGTTAGATTAAATCTAGGTTTGATATCATGGGCTTTAGCACAAGTAACACCATTGTGGTCCTACGGTTTTTTCTTTAACAATAGCAATAGAGTTTAATTAGAATCACTGGGGAGGAAGAAGATCGGGGACAGAGAGGGCAGTGGGGAGGGTCTCCGTGGATGTTCAGAATCTGGGAGATTGGAGGCTGTGGACAGCTTAAAAACCTTCCATGTTGACAATGCTGCATTCCCTCTACCTGTTCCCCGACGTGTGGTCCTTAGACCTTTTGGATGGGGACTACCTGGAGCCTCTTTAAAATGTGGATCCCAAACCCTGACAGATGTACTGAATCAGAATTTTCAGAGGTAGGGTCCAAGAAGTCTTTTTTTTTAAACAACTTTACTATATAAGAGAGTGAAAGTCATTAGCTCTTTCTACACATTTATAGTAGATTGTTTACTGTAAGAGGTCAAGATATATGTTATTATTACATACTTTTGACAGTCATACTTTGCCTATCAGAGAGTTGTCTGAACTAAATAAAGTTACTACAAGGTATCACATTTTTAAATAAGAGAGATGATTGAAACTGTAGGAGAAGAAAAACTAGTTTCTCTCTACCCATTTTAGGTTTCTTGTCTGGGGCCCTGTAAATTAGACTGACAAAAGAAAGATTAACAAGAAAAACAGTTTATTAGCATGTGCATTGTGCTACCTATACATGGGAATACTCAATGATGAGTAACTCAAAGGAGTGGTTAGAACTTGGGCTTATGTGGCACCTTAGCAAAACAACAATAATTTTGTAGAGAATTTCCAGACAAAGGATAAGGACTTTTGAGTTTTTAGGGCAGCAAATTATGGAAAGGCAACTATATGAGAAAATTAATGGTAGATGAAGGCTGGTCTTAACAAAAAATGTTATGTAGATTCCTCTGGTGCCATCTCTGAGCTTATGAGGGTCCCCGGTTGTGCCAGTGGTTATGTCTGTCCTTCCTGGTAGAAAGGGGAGAGGGACATCTTTACAGATTTACAGCCAGCTTTAAACCAAATACAGGGAGTACAGGGAACTTTTTGTGAATCTTTCTTGTCAGCTCAAAACAACCTTATGCCAAAGTAGCATATTTTGGGGCAGCTTATTCTGTATCCTTCAAGAATAACAAGAAACCACAATAACTCATTAGTACATTTATTCTGAGGATAGTGTTGAAGAAAGGCTTTATGTGTTGAGCAATTTTAATATAATTTTTTGTACAATATGTTAGCAGAGATTTGTTTCATTGAAGTGTCCTAAATCTTTTATGCTGTGGTGGAAAATATAGTTCTACTCACCTCTCCATATTATGATATTTCAAAGAAGCTAGACTTCTAAGGGTAATTTCAAAAATAATTTTTTAAATTTTATTTTTCAATTATAGTTGGCCATTCAGTGTTACTTTATATCAGTTTCAAGTATACAGCCTAGTAGCTAGGCAATGATATAAATACAAAGTGATCCCCCGATAATTCATGTATTCAGCTGACACCACACATAATTATTACAATACTATTGACTATAGTTTCAATGCTGTACTTTACATCCCAGGACTTTCTTTTCAGATTTACTTTTTGAATAAACATTTGAGAAGGGGTACATCCCTTACACTCATTGTGGTAAGAAAAGAATCTTAATTTTAATTGCCATATTCTTAAATTGCTGTATTCTATACATATCAGAGCTACTCAAAATTAGTGTACACTTATTATTTAAAAAAATAAGGCTCTCAAATGGCAATTTGAAAACTAGATCTGTCTGTGTACTTAGCCTATGCATATAATATAGCAGAACAAATTATCTCTGAATCATGAATTTTACCTTTCATGTTTTCTTGGCCTCTTTAATAAATTGTTATGGCAGTAGACAAGTCATAGCTTATGTCTGCTTTGAAATGTATCTACTACATATACACACCTCTCTTATAAGACAGATCTATTAGACATTATAATTCACATATATAGGGTGTCCCAAAAAAATGTATATACACTTTAACTCACTTAATTTTTACTCCTTTTTGGATTAAACTGATTTGAAACAAACAAACAAAAAATTTATCCTAAAGTGCCACTGGACATTTTTTTTTTTTTGTAATACATTAAAGATAAAGTTTAGAGTTAAGCCCTAACCAGTTTGGCTCAGTGGATGGAGCATTGGCCTGCGGATTGAAGGGTCCCAGGTTCAATTCCAGTCAAGGGCATATTCCTTGGTTGTGGGCACATCCCCAGCAGGGGGTGAGCAGGAGGCAGCTGATCGATGTTTCTTTCTCATTGATGTTTCTAACTCTATCCCTCTTCCTTCCTCTCTGTAAAAAAATCAATAAAATATATTTAACAAATAAAAATAAAAAAGTATATAGTTAAAAACAAACAAACAGCAACAGTCGACTAATTGAGAGCACACAAATAAAAGGAAATGATTCTTAATGTTTTCGATCCCATTGCTTCGAATTACTATTTTACTTAAAGTAGAACATTAAGACTAGAATGGTCATCAGTTTAAAAACAGACTGACAAAAAAATTATTTATTGCTGTAGATTTTTTTAAATTTTAAAAATGAACTGTATGTTAATAATCACTGACTTTATAATCATTCAAAGAGTGTATACATTTTTTGTGGATACCCTGTACTTAAGAATGCAGTCAGAAAATATCTGTAAAGTCTTCCTTCAATGTAATTTGATGTTTTATGTTGATGTTTAAAGTAAAATCTGTTGTGGATTTAGAGTTTTGTCTGAAATTTTCCTTTTTATGTGTTTTTAAGGTTCCACCGTTTTTAATGTCTTCAGAGGAGTTTTGGAGGTGTTAATTGGTGTGGCAACTGGATCCCTTCTCGGATTTTTCATTCAGTACTTTCCAAGCAGTGACCAGGTAAAAGTCGTGCTCTAAAGTGTCATTGAAAGAACACGGAACACTTCCTTCAAAGCAGAAGTGAAGGGCGGGACTTAGACAATTCCCCCATTTCATACTGTTGATTGCTCTCACAGTGCTGTCCATGAGCTTTATGAAGAGGACTGAATGCATAAGATTTTAATGCAGTCCTGAAAGTTTTTCTCAACTTTTATTCTGCACATTTCAAGTTTCACTGTAAAATAAGTAACAACAATTCCAAGTTTTTAATTTTTAAAAATTAATTTATTTTAACTTTATTTCTATTTGTGTCTATTTGTTTTTAATTATTATTCATAATATTCAACTAAATTAAGATACAAAATAACTGTTTGAGCCTCCTTTTTAATATCAAAATACCTTAGATTCGATATTCTATCAAGTAGACCTTAATGTTTCATTACAATATAGTCCAATATTTCTAACCAAGGAAATCAAAGTTCTTTATTGTTCACAATGATTTCTTAATGATTATCATCCTAAGTTCCTTAGGATAAATAAATTAAAAAAAATTTTTTCTATATGTATTGGCATTTTGAAGATTTCAAAGTATTCTGAATGCGATTAGAAACAACTAAAGTAGAAATTTAAGTAAGATTAATATTTCTATTTCCAGTATGTTGATTTGAATTTATATTATACTCCATAAAACTCCTAGTAAAATTGTTTTGTAACAGGTGATTGTAAAAAAAGATTTTTTTGATTGCAAAAAGAAAATGACAAGATTTTTCTGATTACACAACAAAATAAAGAGAAAAATGTGTGTAAAATTGTGTGTAAAATGATATGGTAAGTTCAATAAAGTTCAATCTGTTCCATATGGCAGCCACTAGCTGATATAGACACTTCCATAGACCGTGCAGATACACACATTTCCATCATCACTGACCGTTCTGTTGGGAAGCTCTGATCTTGTGCAATCCACTGGTAACCTGTGATGTGAATACTATTTATACAACCCTTTTATTGACAAGGAAGTCAAAGCTTAGGAAGAAGTGACTCGAAGAAGGTCACATAGCTAGACTGCAGTGCAGTAGGGAATTAGTTATTTCACCTCCAGAGTCGGCATGCCTCCAAGTCAAGCATTCTTAAAGCCCCTCTCTCCTTCTAATGTTAACACAAAGTTTTAAAGATTGAACAGTAAGTAAGTCTTGAAGATGAAAAAAAATCAGTAATATGAAATAATTGGGCTAATCAACCTTTTTTCTCCTCCAGAGCAAACTTGTTTGGAAGAGAGCCTTCCTTGTCCTGGGGCTCGCTGTGCTAGCGGTGTTCAGCAGCATGTACTTTGGTTTCCCTGGATCAGGAGGACTCTGCACATTGGTGATGGCTTTCCTTGCAGGCCGGGGATGGGCCAGCAAAAAGGTGCATTTCATTCTGTTCTTCTTGTAACTACTTACTGACTAGATTAATTTTTCTTTCCAGATACTTTCTTAACATCAGGTTAATAAAATTATTTTAGCATAAAAGCTATTTCCTATGCAGAGATAAATGTATGCCCAAATGTACACACACACATTCCTTTTTTCCCGTTACATGCTGGTCTATAACTTGAAATATATCTTGGTCACATTCCCCTGATGCCTTCCTTATTCTTTGTAAAGGCTCTAGTGTATTGCATTGTATAACTGCATTATACTTTATTAAACAAGTCTTCTACTCACAGACATTTAGATTGTTTCCTGTTTTCTGCTAAACAAACAAACAAACAAATCCTTATAGATACCATATTTTATAAACTCTAAGACACTGCCAAGTCTAAGAAGAAAGAAAAAGAATGTTGCAGTTAAACTATGACATGACATCCTAATTTCAGAAATGTTTAAATGTGAAGAAATGTGTACCTTTAAATCAACAAAATAAACATATCTTTGAGTTAATCTACAGGGTAAATTTCTAGAAAAAAAAGTCTGCTCTATGAAAGAGGAAGTACATTGCTACTTTTTAATTTTACTTTTCAATTACAGTTAAGATGTGTGTTATTTTTGTGCTAGTTTCAGGTATACAGCATAGTGTCTAGATAACCAGATATTTTACAAAGTATTTTTCTCTATATTTCCTGAACCCACCTGACACTGTGCATGATTATTACAACATTATTGACTGTCATTCTGATAGTATCAATTTACTCTTTTATTAAGGCGGTACCATACTGATAGGTAAAAAGTAGTATCTTGTTTTCTGTTTCTTTGATTAGCAGTAAAATTGAATACTTTTTCATATATTTAATCACTTGTATTTTTTTTCCTTTTCTTTGATATTAATCTTTTGTCCAGTTTCTTCTGAAGTCTAATGCATTGACTGTTGATCTGTAAGATATACTAATATACATACATATAGGTGATATGTAGTTCATTTTTAACATATAAATGATATTTTTATGTGGTGAGATCTATAAGTCGCTTATGGCCTTTCCTCAATAGCTTTTTTTTTTTTTCTTAAAAATCTCTTTATTATGCAGGTAAAATCTTCCATATGTCATCGCATTTATTTTTTACAATAGCCTTGACAAATATATATTCCATCCACTTTGCAGATGAGGACATGGAGGCTTAGAGATCTTAGACAGATTGTCCAAGGTCACAAAGGTGCTAAGTGGCAGAGCCAGGATGAGAACATACCTTTAGACAACAGAGGGTCCCTGACTCACAGTGGTTCAACTTTGGATTTTTTGACTTTACGATGATGGTGCTGAAGCAGGACATCTTCAGTTGAAACTCTAGGTGCAGTTTTGAGTTTTGATCTTTACCTGGGCTAGCAATATGCAGTCTGATACTAGATACTTTTTCTGATGCTGAGCAGTGGCAGTGAGTCTCAGCTCCCAATCAGCACAGGATCATGAGCAAACAACCAATACTCGCGAGTGCTGTGTGGCCAGCATTTTTTAATATTGTGTGTTACGTTTTTGTATCCCATCATGTCAACAAAATGCCCATCTGTGTTTCTTGCTTCTGTTGAGAAGAAGCAAAAGACAATTACTCTTAAGGAGAAACTAAAGATAATTGCTAAACTAAGTGTCCTGAGCACATTTAAGGTAGGCTAGGCTAACCTATGATGTTTAGGAAGTTAAGTGCATTAAATGTATTTTCAACGCTGATGGATATATTGGGACATAATCGCATCATAAATCAAGGGTGTCTGTATAATCAATATGACTCCATGAAGAAAGGAAAGGAAACAAATCTTCATTGAACAATCAGGTGGCAGGCATTCTGCATACCTTTTGTAGTTTAGTACTCAGAAGAGTTCTTAATTCTGGAGATACCAGTCCAGTGTGTCCAGATTTTGGACTTCTTTTCTCCCTTGGTCTGGAATATAGCATAAGGTCAAGAGCTCTGACAGGCTAATCTCACCTGTACAAACTTGTACCTATATTATCACATACAAGTAATCTAACTGCTCAATCCTCAAATTCTGTATCTCAGGAGTGGGGAGAGACAACAGCAACAACTACATTGGAGGACTAAGTTAAATAATCTCTATAAAGCAAAGTGCTTAGTCATAGAATGCACTCAGTAAATAATAGCCCATATTATTTTTATACCTACTTCCAGAGCAGCACAGCATAGTAAAAAGAGCATAAAATTAAAAATATGGAGATTGGGATTCCAATCCCAATTCTACTATTCTCTACCTGTAAGTCCTCCCCCCCCCCAAAAAAAAGTCACTTCCCTTTCTAATACTCAGTTTTCTTAACTGTAAATTTGAAGAAAATAATAACATCTAAAGAACTGTTGGGACTCTTATGTGGGAAAATGGAAATTGAACATTTGTAACCTCAACAGTGCCATAGCAATATTGTTGACTTGTACTTTGAAAAACTCAAATATTTTATAAAATTTAATTTATGCTGATAGTTTTAGAACATTATTTTATACTTTTCTGTTTGGTTTTTTATATAACCATTAATCTTGCTATTTGTTGTATTCAAAAGCACTCACCTTCACAAAACCTCTTTGGTGTATTTTTAAAATCTATTTTCAAATCCAGTGCTTCTTCATATGACTTTGGCAGTCATGGGATTTTTTTCCATAATTTGGATCTCCTGAATCTTGAAATGTTCTTATCTCTAAGAAGAGAAGGATCAGCTTAAGTAGATATTTAAGTCATGAAGAAACTTTATTTCTCTTAACTTTCTCATTTTGTTCATCTTTGAAAAAAATTAATATTTTTGAATATTCTTACTAATAGTGCATTCATATTTGTAAAGTGGCCTAAACTTTCAGTGGATAATACAGTCTTCATTTTTCTGGGCTCATCTTCTTTTATACTTAGCCTATTCATTGAGTCTATTTTCTTTATAAACCAATTCACTTTAGTTTTGAAATTATGAAAAAGCCACAAAAAAATATATTAGCAGAGCTAGCCATTGTCAATAAATGATGAAGGATATTACAGTTGAGAAAAATGAGGTGCTGAGTAGCAAGTAGCTTACAGCTAGTGGGAAGCAGAAATTGAACCAAGTCATTATCTGATTCCTTATGATGTGAAAAATTCAACTTTTTGCATGATATGAGAATACAACTATATAAATAATCAACCAACTTCCTCACATCTCTGCCTTTCACATTTATAAGCTAAGGGTAAATAGAATATTTATCCTAATAAAACATTAGAAATAAGAAATAGAGAAACTATGTAATCTTCCTTTGTTAAGCTGCTTAATACTATATATACATGAAACTGCAAATCCTTAAAGATGTGTAAGTATAAAAATGTCATCTAAAAATATATATTCTTACTAGTTGATTAAAAAATTTGTTGAAGGTAAATTCTTTGATACTATAATGGTTACTAATAAACTGCCTTCCAAAAAAAGCATTATCAATTTGCTCTCCTACCAATTAGTAAGAATTTCCTTAAAATTTCTACAAATACTTCACATTATTAAAACTTTTTAGTGTATTTTCCAATGTGATAACCCCCATCCTCAAAAATAGATGGTGTATCATTTTAACTTGTGTTTCTCTGATTACTGAGTTTTAGCTTCTTATTTTTTGGCTACTTGTGAATATGCACTGCCCATTTTTCTATTGGATTCTATGTCTTCTTTCCTATTGACTGGATGTTCCTTATTCTGTTATTCTTAGTACAGATATTTCTTCTGGTTTGTCACTTTTTTTTCTTCAAACATTTTAGTTTACTATCGTCAATTGTGTAAATATTATCCTAGGGTTTTGCACTATGTGTTATAAAGTTAGTACTTAAGGTCTTGTCAGGAAAGAGAAGCCATATAGTAACTGGAATATGGAAAGTTTATTGTTAACCAGATATTATCTTGTAAGATGTAGAGATCCCTAAAGAATATAGGAATAGCAGCTATAACCCCCTAGGACTCAGATGGAGCATCCCTTCCTCACCCCACCACTACCAATCCACTTACTCCTGCCCCCAGACCTGAGAATCCAGACCATGTTTAGTACTTGGGTTCTAAAATACTAGATGGTGGAGAAGTCACTGGTGCCCACCAGCAGAATTTGCTGGAAGTCTATCCTCCAAATTTCCAAGAAATCCACTGTCTATGGTACATGGGAAGATACATTGCTCAAGGAGTTGACTATGAAATCACCCAGCAGTAGGCTGGGGTAAGCTGCTGGCCACTGGGTGCTGCCGGCCACCAGGCACTGAAGGATCCTGGCCCTGGAGAAACCGCCTGGTCTGCAGGAGCCTGGTGCTGTAGGATCCTGTGGGAGGAGCCACTGAAACCAGGAAGAGCACCTTCTTCTGGCAGTATCTCTTCGGCGCCCTCTACTGGCAAAATTTAACATGGTGCTAGCTAGCAAAGGAGAAATATTTTAAAGAGATTAAAGGATGGGGCTCCATTTTCCACAGAGCAACAATGAAAGGAGGCAAGGGACAATAAATTAATAACTGGAACAGCTTTTTATATGTAGGTTTTTATTTTTATGCACAATTTGAAATGTCCTTAAAAGGTATTTTTTATAAATATAAAATAAAATTGGAAATAACTTAGAGGTTCATCAATAAAGAAATAATTCAATAAACTGTGGTACTTCCATAACAGATTCCTATGTAGCAATAATGAGGTACCTGGATATATGTGCTAAAATGAAATTTAAGTCATAGTGTTAAATTAAAATAACCTAAAATTTTAAATTATGAAAGAAAACTAAGTATTATAGTATGTGAACACACAAATATTATGCATTCAAAAGTAGTTCTAAGATTACTTTATAATAAATATTTATAATTAAGATCTATTTGCAAAGCAACATTAAACACCTCATATCATAACTGTGTTATAAATATGTGCAATTTTGTGCTCTGTTCTAGCTAATCTCTTAATTTATAGATGTCACAGAAGTAAAGCCTATCTCAGCTCAAATAAACTCAGATCTCAAATTAGTAAAATTCTTAGAACTTGTAACTTTACATAATAAAAATTCATATGTGTGTTTGTTTTCTTAGGCAGAGGTTCAAAAAATTATTGCAGTTGCCTGGGACATCTTCCAGCCCCTTCTCTTCGGACTGATTGGAGCAAAAGTGTCTATTGCATCTCTCAGACCAGAAACTGTAGGTAAGAATTTCAAAGTAATACTTGGGCTAAAATCAACTTTTCATATTCAGTTGAAATATCTTTAGTAGGTATATGTTCAGTAGTTCCATTGTCACATTATAGTTAATAATGCTTTAAAAGTAGTTGGTTAGTAAATAATGTTTGTCAGCCCCAGATGGTTGCTCCCTGATGAGAGTGCTGACCCTCAGGATTGCAGGTTCAATTCTGGTCACAGGCATGTGCCTTGGTTGCAGGTTTAAACCCCACCCCCTGGCCGGGCATGTGTGGGAAGCAACCAAACATTGTGTCTCTCTCACATTGTTGTTTCTCTCTCTCTAAACCAATGGAAAAAACACCCTCAGGTAAAGTTTAATAAAAAGAAAAAGAGCCGAAATTGGTTTGGCTCAGTGGGAAGAGTGCTGGCCTGCGGACTGGGAGGTCCCGGGTTTGATTCCAGTCAAAGGCAAGAACCTTGGTTGTGGGCACATCCCCAGTAGCGGGTGTGCAGGAGGCAGCTGATCTATCCCTCTCTCTTCCTCTCTGTAAAAAAGTCAATACGGTATATTAAAAAAAAAAAAAGAAAAGAAAAGAAAATAATGTCCATCATTCTAAGATAGTAAGTTGTATATCTTTACAATTACTCATTGTAAAGAAAAGTAATACTGCTTATTACTGGCAAAAATGTAGGCCTTAAAATATTTTTTTCTATTGAGTGTTCATCTAGCCTTGTTCTGATCAAGGGCCAGAATGTTAAAGATAACTAGTCATTTCTGTAATATGTACCCATGGAATGGAAATGTTTGTGCATTCTTTTTTTTTTTTTTAAAGCATTTAAAAGCCACCATATTAAAACTCTCTTGGTTCATAGTACCTATTTCAAGTTAATTTGCACATATATTCTCTGTATTTCCTCCTTTCCTCACATCACAATATGCTCCCTCCATCCTAGGGATCTCATCCCTGCCCTCTCCTTCTGGATCTCACACATATTATAGATTCTTCTCATGCATCTTTGAATGTATTTGTCATGTGTATGCTTGTCGGTTTCTCCTCTTCAGAATTTAAACAGAGTTTAAGCTCTCTTATCTTAGAATAAAATTCATTCATTCTAATACATGCTGCAACATGGGTGGACATAGATGAGGACAGTATACTATTTGAAATAAGCCAATCACAAAAAGACACAGACTGTGTGATTTCACTTATAGAGGTGTCCAATATAAGTCAAATTCATAGAGACAGAAAGTAAATGAGGGTTGTCAGGGTTTTAGGAGAAGAGATCTAGTGATTGGTTGCATAAAAATGTGAATGTTTAGTACCATGTAGTTGTATATTTAAAATGGTTAAGATGGCCCTAGCTGGTTTGGCTCAGTGGATAGAGCATCGGCCTCTGGTTGATTCCCGTCAAGGGCATATGCCCAGGTTGTGGGATCGGTCCCCAGTAGGGCGTGTGCAGGAAGCAGCTGATCAATGACTCACATCAGCTCTATCTCTCCCTCTCCCTCTCTGAAATCAATAAAAATATTTTTTAAATGGTTAAGATGGTAAATTTATGTGTACTTTAACACAATTAAAATTTATTCTTTCTCCATTTCACTTACCTCCTCACTTACTAATCTACCTCTCTATTCCTTTTTTTCAACTTTTCCAAAGAGGCAAGTAATCATATCCCCCTTTTCCATCTTAATTCTTATTCTTTTATTCAATACATTTATAAAAATAAAAAATACATTTCAGACCAGCTTTTGCCCTTTCACACAACCAACTCTGCTCTGATGAAGGTCATATTGCTAAGACCACTGAATGTTCACCGCTCTTTATTTTATTTGAGCTCTCAACAGCATTGGGAGATCTTTAAGCCACTTTTTAAACAAATTTTATTGTTTAAGGTATTACAAATAGTAGTGCATATGTCTCTTCTCCCCCTCCCCCCCACTAACCTCCCCCCGGCCTCCCTACCCCCCAACACTTGCCTTCGTCTCCCTGCCCCCAGTGTCTTGAATCTGTTGGTTGTGCTTATATGCATGCATACAAGTCCTTCAGTTGATCTCTTACTTCCCTCCCCACAACCCTTCCCTACCTTCCCCTTATAGTTTGACAGTCTGTTTAATGCTTCTTTGCCTCTATTTTTGTTCAACAGTTCGTAATGTTCTTTATTATCCATAAATGAGTGAAATCATGTGGTATTTATCTTTCACTGACTGGCTTATTTCACTTATCATAATGCTCTCCAGATCTATCCATGCTGTTACAAATGGTAAGAATTTCTTCTTTTTTTACAGCAGCATAGTATTCCATTGTATAGATGTACCACAGTTTTCTAACTCATTCATCTGCTGATGGGCACTTAGGCTGTTTCCAAATCTTATATATATATATATATCCTTTCTGACTGGTTTTTCTGTTTTCTTGGGATATATTCCTAGATGTAGCATTACTATGTCAAATGGGAGTTCCATTTTTAAAAAAATATATTTTATTGATTTTGTACAGAGAGAAAGGGAAAGAGATACAGAGTTAGAAACATCGATGAGATAGAGTCATCGATCAGCTGCCTCTTGCACACTCCCTACTGGGGATATGCCCGCAACCAAGGTACGTGCCCTTGACCGGAATCGAACCTGGGACCATTCAGTCCCCAAGCCGACGCTCTATCCATTGAGCCAAACCGGTTTCGGCGGGAGTTCCATTTTTAATTTTTGAGGAAATGCCATACTGTTCTCCACAGTGGCTGCACCAGTCTGCATTCCCACCAGCAGAGAAGGTGGGTTCCTTTCTCTCCACATCCTCTCCAGCACTTGTCATTTGCTGATTTGTTGATGATAGCCATTCTAACAGGTGTAAGGTGGTACCACATTATTGTTTTGATTTGCGTCTCTCAGATGATTAGTGAGTTTGAACATGTTTTGATACATCTCTTGGCTTTCTGAATGTCCTCTTTCAAAAAGTGTCTATGTAGGTCCTTTGCCCATTTTTTTTTTATTGGATTGTTTATCTCCCTTTTGTTAAATTGTATGAGTTCCTTGTAAATGTTGGAGATTAAAGCCTTATCGGAGATAAAATTGGCAAATATGTTCTCCCATGCAGTGGGCTTTGTTGTTGTTTTATTGATGGTTTCTTTTGCTGTGCAGAAGCTTTTTATTTTGATGTAGTCCCATTTGTTTCTTTTCTCTTTAGTTTCCATTACCCTAGAATCTGTATCGGTAAAAATATTGCTCTGACAAATGTCTATTTTGCTGCCTATGGCTTCTTCTAAGATTTTTATGGTTTCCCATCTTATGTTTAAGTCCTTTATTCATTTTGAGTTTATTTTTGTGTATGGTGTAAGCTGGTGGTCTAGTTTCCTTTCTTTTCTTTTCTTTTCTTTCTATTGCAAGTATCTGTCCAGTTTTCACAACACCATTTATTGAGGAGACTGACTTGCCTCCATTGTATGCTCTTGTCTCCTTTGTCGAATATTAGTTGTGCATTGTGGTTTGGGTCGATCTCTGGGTTCTCTGTTCTGTTTCCCTGGTCTATATGTCTGTTCTTGTGCCAGTACCAGGCAGTGTTGAGAATAGTGGCTTTGTAGTATAGTTTGATATCTGGTATTGTGATCCCTCCAACATTGTTCTTCTTTCTCAAGATTGCTGCAACTATTTGGGGGTCTTTTTTTTTTTATTCCACGTGAACTTTTGGAGAATTTGTTTTAGTTTTTTTAAATATGCCTTTGGTATTTTAATGGGAATTGAGTTGAATTTATAGATTGCTTTGGGTAGTATGGACCTGTTAATGATGTTGATTTTACCAGTCTATAAACATATATATTTTTTTCATTTGTTCATGTCTTCCTCTGTATCTTTTTTAGCGTTCTGAAATTTTCTGAGTATAGGTCCTTTGTCTCCTTGATTAAGTTTATTTCTCGGTATCTTAATTTTTTTGGTGCAATGGTAAGTGGGATTGCTTTTTAAATTTCTCTTTCTGAGAGTTCATTATTGGTGTATATAAAAGCCATAGACTTCTGGGCATTAATTTTGTATCCTGATATATTGCCGAATTCATCTATTAAGTCTAGTAGTTTTTTGATGGAGTCTTTGGGGTTTTCTATGTACAATATCATGTCATATGTGAATAAGGAAAGTTTTACTTTTTTTTTTTTTTTCAATTGGATGCCTTTTATTTCTTCTCCTTATCTGGTCCCAATGGCTAGTACTTCCAGTACTGTGTTGAAGAGAAGTGGTGAGAGTGGGCATCCCTATCTTGTTCCTGTTTTTAGGGGAAATGGTTTTAGTTTTTGCTCATTGCATATGATGTTGGCTATAGGTTTGTCATATAAGGCTTTTATGATGTTGAGGTATGATCCTTCTATTCCAACCTTGCTGAGAGTTTTCATCGAGAAAGGGTGTTGGATTTTGTCAAATGCTTTTCCTGCATCAATGGATATGATTATATATTTTTTATCTCTCAGTTTGTTTATGTCGTGTATCACATTTATTGATTTGGGATGTTGTACCATCCTTGCATCCCCGGGATAAAGCCTACTAAACCACTTTGTACATTGAAGTATGAAATTATGTGTTCCAGAGCCTTTTGAGTCCTCCTCCTTTAAAAAAAAAAAAAAAAAAAAAATATATATATATATATATATATATATATATATATATATATATATAATATTTTTAAAAAGGAGGAGGACTCAAAAAGAAGAAGGGAGAGAGAGATCAATGATGAGAGAGAATCATTGATTTGTTGCCTCCTTCATGCCCCCCACTGGGGATCAAGCCTGTAATCTGGGCATGTGCCCTTGATGGGAATTGAACCAGAGACCCTTCAGTCCGAACGCCAATGCTCTATCCACTGAGGCAAACCAGCTAGGGCTTGAGTCCTCTTTACACTCACCTATATGTGGCTTAAATGCTGCTCTTTATCTAATTCTTTCCAAAGCTGCTATGCTACTTACCTCTGAGCTCACCTACACTCCCTCTCCCCAAACTTTTAATGTTACCCTTTGAGAGTAGTATCATTTCTTGTATCTATACTTCAGACAACAAATACTTTGGAAAATTTATCATCACGGGAGAAATATTAATATTCTTCAACAAAGAGCCACATAGTTTTCTTTTGTTTTTGTTTTTTATAAAGAAACCCTATTCACAATAGATTCACAGTAGATCCCCAGCAATATTTATCTGGTGTTTTACAGCCAGAAAGTTTATCCTTTCTGATTTCTTTCTTTTTCAACTGTAAAATGAGAAAAATTACCCCACTGGTTGTAAGATTAAGTAAAGTACTATACTTAAGGCTTAATACAGAATGTGGCACAGAGTAAACACTTAACAAATGTTACAAAAAAAAAAAAAATCACCCCATTATTTACCAGTCACCTTAGCTATGCCTTTCTCAGATCCAGTAACCTGCAGCAGCCATTGTCACAATCCCTTATTTTGCAAATCAGGATGAACTTATCTCTATCAGGAAAGAAATTTAAAGGACTGAATGAAGTACTGTACACGTGAACCAGGTCTAATGGGCACGTCAGTGTAAACACAAGTGTGATAAAAACACAGGGGCTGATAAATATTTTTAATATCACTCCTGGTCTTATGCTCTATAAAGAATTCTCAACCATTATGATGAAAATACTGATTTTTTTCTTCTTCTTGCTCTCTTACCGATATATTTATACTTCACTTACCTTATTGTATAGTAACTGGTTGTTTATACTTCTGGTTTCCTCTGACTTAGAAGTTCATCGAGGCAAAGTCTATACATTATATATTTTGTGTAGCCAGTACTTAGCCCAAATCCTGTCATGCATTGTTATCATTTAGTAAATTATTGTTGAACAAACACATGAAAAAAAGTGTGGTTTTTGCTATAATGCATAAGGGAAATAACATTCAAATCTCCTTTGCAGAAAATCAAATATGTTTAATTAAGTCTTCATTTTATTCTAGGGAAAATACCTTCTTTTAAATAAATGGTCTGACTGATTGATCCTCAATACAGGTGTGGGCAAAAGTAGGTTTACAATTATAATACAAATAAATAATACAATAATTAATAAATAATAACTGTTTAAACTGTAAATTTGTCAACCCCTGTATTAATATTTTGATAAATTATGCCTAACCATTTTCGTTTTTTAAAAATTTGAATAGATTGAGATTACTGCTGTTGATAGTATTATGAATCAATAATTATGAGATTTGATTTCTCCCCAGTAGTATTTCATTATGTCTAAAAACTAAGTATTTCTTCCAGGCCTTTGTGTTGCCACCTTGGGCATTGCAGTATTGATACGAATTTTGACTACATTTCTGATGGTGTGTTTTGCTGGTTTTAACATAAAGGAAAAGATATTCATTTCTTTTGCATGGCTTCCGAAGGCCACAGTCCAGGTAATGGTGGATAAAGGATGGCTTTACATTTTAACTCCCATTTCTATTTAATAGCTTAATCAAATTTGGTGAAAATAAGCAATTAAAGTTTGATTTGTGAAAAGAGTTTTACTAATCTATTTTTTTTAAATCAATCTTTATTGTTCATATTATTACAAAGGTTCCTCATTTCTTCCCCCCTCCACCAGGTTCCCACCCCACCCTCCACCCCCTCCCCACCCCCCATTGTCCTCATCCATAGGTGCACAGTTTATGTTCAGTCTCTTCCTCCCTCCCTCCCCCACCCCCCAGAACAGTCAGTCCACTCCCCTCCCATATCGCTGACTCTACTACAATGAACAGCTATTATTGTTCATCAGGTTTTTCAATCTCCTTTTGTTGTTGTTGTTGTTTTTTAAATTAATAAACTTTTACACTTCTAAGAATAAATTTTAAAATCTAATAATTTTAAACCTTGTTTTTTTTTCTGCCCTGGGAATTGAGAGCAAACTTGTTTACATGTAAATTTGCCCTTAGGCTATCAAAAGGTATAGCCATTCAAGTGTAAATGGACACATTGTTTAAACATAGCTGCTGGGTGGAATTGGATTACCTGTTCTGAGTGGGAAGGGCTTGTCATTCCCTTTAAAATTAAGGTGTTAGCTTTAAAACCTCTTTTTGGCAAGAGACCTTAAACTTTCAGAACTTTAAATTTTTCAGATAGTAAATCAGTTACTTAGCATTTTCTCAAATCAATAATATCTCCACATGCCCAAGGATACATTTCACACAAAAGACATTTCCAAATAGATCAACCAACCTCATCCAGGCCCCACACAAGGCACTCACAGATCAACACCCCAGCCCTATACTAACTCAACACATCCAGATCTAAGCCTTCATCACTTAATTCAGCAGACCCTCAAGTTCCCCCAAAAGTTTCCAGCCATGTCTGAGAGGCAGCCTTGGGGCAGGGGCAGGTGAGGAGCAAGCTGTTCCGGGCCTGGTTGCTCTGGGCCCCTGGCCTCTGTTGCTCTGGTTCGTTCCACAACCAGCTGCACCGGGTCTGGCCACTGTCGCTCCCGTCCTGGCTGCTCCGGGCTTGGCTGCTGCTGCTCCGGGCCTGGCTGCTCCCGACCTGGCTGTACTAATCTATTTTTTAAAGTTTTATTTTTGGTTATCAATTCCTTAAATATGACAGCTCATTTAAATTTATTTAGATAACCAGGGCACAACAAAAATTCCAATAAATCTCCCTCACATTGTTAGGAAGCAGTAGTAGCAGGAGGAAGGAGTTTGACTTTTCATCAATCAGAGCTCTTTAAATCCCCCAGAGAGATAGTTGTTATTACTTTCCATTTCATTATCTTCTAAGAAGGGAGTGAACAAATAGCATGGTTTGTCTTAGTATTTGGAAATACTTCAGTGTTAATATGGTTGATGATAAGTTATGCTTGACCACAGTCTCTTTTTTTAAATATATTTTATTGATTTTTTTACAGAGAGGAAGGGAGAGGGACAGAGAGCTAGAAACATCAACCAGCTGCCTCCTGCACACCCCCTACCGGTGATGTGCTCGCAACCAATGTATATACCCTTGACCAGAAACGAACCTGGGACCCTTCATTTCACAGGCTGACACTCTATCCACTGAGCCAAACCGGCTTTGGCTTGACCACAGTCTTTATATATACAGTAGAAGACTTTATTAACAAACATTTCAGAAAATGTTTTACTGATTTCCTATATTATTAGTTAATGTTGTATTTCAAATTAGCTGAAACTTCTGTCAATTGTCTCAACACAGAACCCAAAATTTGTGCAATTAATGAACAAGGCACTAAAGGTGCTTGAAATTTTTGACCAGGAATTTGATAGGATCCCTATAATTGCTCATTAAATTAGCATTCTTTAGAGTACAATTTGCTGCAAATATAATATATTCCTAATTGTATCACATGTTTTATTTTTTTTTATCATCACTGAGGATATTTTTTGTTTGTTTGTTCGCTTGTTTTATTTTAGGGAGAAAGAGGAAGGGAAAGAGAGAGAGACAAACATTATGTGAGAGAGAAACATCAATCAGCTGTCCCCTTCAGGGATTAACCTGCAACATGGGTATGTGTGTGCCCTGACCAGGAATTGAATCCATGACTTTTCAGTGTACAGATGATGCTCCAACCAACTAAGCCACACTGGCCAGGGCTGTATTGCGTATTTTCTAGAGTAATTATAGCAAATGAGATTTAACTCTTCCAACCCGGATTGTTCTGCAGTTATTTAAGTATCTATTTCATGAAATGAAAATCAAATATTCATACTTTTAGGAAGTTTTGGTAGGTGTATATGCTCTGTAATTACATGCCAGATTTTGTACAGCTTCGGGCTTAAGAATTATTTCAAAAAAGTTTTTTTCCCCATCAGACTTCAAAGATGTCTGAGATATAATGGCTAAGAATACTGTGAGGTTAATATATTAATAGGTACAATAGTTTCTCCCTCAGTGTCTTCAGCTTCCACACTACTTTTGGTAACTAATAAATAAATATTAAAAGAATCCTTCTAGTAGCTTTGAAATGAAAGATTTGTTTCTAAACGTTAAACTTTAAAAGATGGCACCTTCCTGTTATCAAAGCAAAATTTAAAATACAGATATATTATCTAGAATGTGTTGAGGAATGTATGTTCTGTGAAACAAGTATTATATAGAATTTTCTTTTTTCTCCTTTTGCCACAGCACAAGACACAAGACTTTTTATATATCTTTTCTATATTAGTTGTTTTTCAAACATTTTTTGTTCATATGATACTATAAAAATATATTTTAAATCACAATTTAGCATGCATACACACTCCAAAAGATTATATATATATATATATATATATATATACACACACACACACAAAAGAGAACTGAAGGAGAAATATACAGATGACTCTTGAGCAGCACAGAACTCAGGGATCAAAAATTCATGTATAACTTTTGACTCCCCCAAAATTCAGCTGTCCCTCTATATCAGTGAGGGATTAGTTCCAGGACTCACCTGTAGTTACCAAATTCTGAGTATGCTCAAGTCCCTTATATAAAGTGGTGTAGAACAATGCATACATTCAGCCCTCTGCATCTTCAGATTCCCAGCTGCAGGTGGAAAATGCTGTTTTCAATCATGGTTAATTGAATTCCCAGCTACAAAACCTAGAGATATGGAGGGCTAACTGTAAAATATTGAAAAAAAAAATCACGTATAAGTGAACTTGCAGAGTTCAAACCCGTGTTGTTCAAGTGTTGAATATATATCATCATGTGTGCAATACTTCCCAAGAATTCATGAAACATTGAATTAGTTATGGTACCAGGTAACCTGCAATAACAAAGAAGCCTCAATACAGGGACTACATTAGATAGCTTTTTTCTTTCTCACCAGCAATCCAGCAAGGGCATCCCAGAGCTGGCGGGGTGACTGCTGTCCTCAGCATGTGCCTTTCAATGATTCCAGCTTCCACAATTTCTCACCCAGTGGGAAAGGGGGAAAGATTAAGGTACAAGTGTTCCATTTGTTCTCAGGGAGCAACCTGAAGTAGCATTTATCACTTCCACTCACTTCTCGGTGGCCTTAGATACAGTTTCATCTTGTTGCAAAGAAGGCTGAAAAAAAGTGTCTGTATGGACAGCAGTGAGACCAGCTAAAACTCGGGAATTATAAGGAAGGGAAAAAGGACATCCAGATATTTGTGTTCAATTAGTAGTCTCTGCCATTGTATCTCATGCACACTAATACTTCCTCCTGTTTCACTGTCCTAGAGGCTAACGTGTTCAGTGGAATAGGGGAAAACCAAATAGACTAACATATGACTTTCCCATATGCACTAATCCTATATTTTGCCTCTAAAAAGAGAAACAAGAATGTTTATAAGATTTTCCAGTAGATAAACTTTAAGTGAAACAGTTTAGCAATCTTGAGCCAAAGAGTTAACCAAATACCTAAGTTTTGAAGGTACTACCACTTTTGGGTTTTATGATATTTAAAAATTAGTTTTGATTCTAAAACAATACATATTCTTTCTTTTTTTTCATTTACAACTTCATCATCTTCCAGTGACTATTTTTTTTCATCTTGTTCTTTCTTAATTCCAAGTTCCTAAAGATGAAAAAATAAGATGCCCAATAACTTTCCTCTTTAATTAGAAGAAATTTAGTATAAAGAATCATGTTATAATTAACTAAATGATGAGTTTGTGTTTGCTTTGTGTTTTGAAATATATGTGCCTGATATTTTTTGTAACCTTACCTTATGCCAATAGGTAAAGATGAATTATCATTCTTTCCCCATGCAAAGGCAGGGACAATTTTCAAACAATCAGAACCAACTTCAATATACTTTGAAAGAAAACTTACTGAACTTTCTTAGTTGAGCAAAAGAATAAGCAATTTTCCCTAGCTTTAAAAGAAAGAGCGTCGGCCTAACGACTGAAAGGTCCCAGGTTCGACTCTGGTCAAGGGCACAAGCCCAGGTTGTGGGCTCGATCCCCAGTAGGGTGCACGCAAGAGGCAGCCAATCAATGATTCTCTTATTATTGATGTTTCTATCTCTCTCTATCTCTCCCTTCCTCTCAGAAATCAAAAAATATATATATTGTTTAAAATATTAATTATTTTAAAAAGAAGAATAAGCAGTTTGTTTAAAAATAATTCACCTTCTGTCTATGTGTTTAGTTTATTGTGTTTCCAAATTTACCTTTAAACTTTTATAGGCTGCAATAGGATCTGTAGCTTTGGACACAGCAAAATCACGTGGAGATAAACAATCAGAAGAATATGGAATGGATGTGCTGACAGTGGCGTTTTTGGCCATCCTCATCACAGCCCCAATTGGAAGTCTACTGATTGGCCTGCTGGGCCCCAGGCTTCTCCAGAAAGCTGACCATCAAAATAGAGATGAAGAAGTTCAGGGAGAGATTTCTGTGCGCTTTTAGAGGTGAAAAGAAAGTAAGCTGAATATAATGATTAGAAAACTGCTAAAAGAGGCTACTTTTATCAAGATGAATACTGAAATATGTAATGTGTAAGCTTAAAATGTAGTAAAATCAAATGTGTGACTATTTCTTTAAAAAGCATTTTTAGCCATTACCCTTTCCATGTGGGTGGTGATGTTCTGCATCTCCAACCTGATCCTATTACCTTATTTTTCTTTCAAACATGCCTTCATCATATATCTCAATTTGTAGAGGGACACATACACTTGAATGTGCTACCACAATTTAAAATTCACCTCAGAAAAACCAAGTTCAGAATCCTGTTCTGCCAGCCAACAGCTTTCTCTGACTCACTGTTAGTCACAGCTTCATGATCCCTGGTCACCTAGCTTCTCATGTGTTGAGTTGGCTCCTTTTGGGGGGCTCATCTTTTCTCTTTTTTTGTTTGTTTTGTTTTTGTTTTTAACTACCCTAATCCAGTCCCCATCAGTTTCTACTTTCATTTTCCCTGCGAATCTGCCTCACCTCCATTTCTACCCCTTTTATTAGAACAGATTCGTCCTGCCAAAATATTAAAGTACACAAAGTATTTTCATTGGTTCTTCCCTTGCACTTTCTGGACAACGGAAGCCCTTATCCTGACTCCTAGCTGGCTACACAGAGTCCTCCTTTCAGTGGAGCCTCTAAGTTTGCTCCTCGTAAAGAGTGCCCTGTCCAGCCCTTACCTGTTTGTTTCAGACTCTTCCTGTTCTCTAGGTGAAAGATAGCTCATTTTCAAATCTATGCCAACCTCATAAGCTGCTATAATGAAGAAACAAAAAAATACCAAATAGAAATTTATTCGTGTGTCATGAAACTGGCTGGCTGGTTGATGCTGACAGGGTTCTCTACTCATGAGGTAACTCAGACCCACACCCTCTGTTCAGAGGCTCTGTTCAGGACACAGGTTAAAGATGGGTCTCTCCTACATCTCCTTTCTAGCCCTCTGGACAAAGGGAAAAAGGAAGTCCAAGGCAAGGAATTTGTTTTTAAGGAAGTGATAAGAAAGTGGGCACATATCTCCCTTACATTCTATTGGTGACAACCACACCAGCTGTGAGAAGACAGAGAAGCATTCACGTTCCTACCAGGAAGGAAAGATCAGATTTGGGAGCCAGAGGTGCCATTGTGCTGGCAGGTACCATCACTTGATAACATATTCTTGCATTTTAACAAGGACTTTCTAAAGATGGTACTTTTAGCCAAAAAAAGTGACATCTGTGGCTGGAATTTCAGACATTGTGACATGCCAGCAGAGAGGATAGTAGAAGAAAAATTCATCTGCATGGGTCACACTGTATCCTACTAGGTGTACCAGTTATTAATGGGAATTTTTTTCAATAGATGGAGTTACACATATGTTGATATGTATGTGATGTGATATTTATGCTATTTTGTTGTATTGACAGCAAGCTTCAAAATGTCATATGTCAAATTTGCTGAAGGTGTTAACATCATAGATATTTTTACACTTAAAAATGTTGAATTTCGTGCCAAAGAAAACATTTGTAGGAAGTTTTAATTCATTACTTTATTTTGAAGAAAAAGTTATTGTATACTTCCGGAAGCTTATGGTGAACATGCTCCTTCTCAAGATACTTGTGAACACTGTTTTAAATGCTTTAAAAGTGATGATTTTGAAAGACAAAGAACTTGGTCAAACAAAAAAGTTTGAAGACCAACAATTACAAGCATTATTGGATGAAGATGCATGTCAAACTCAAAACCAACTTGCAGAAAGATTAAACGTTGCTCAGCAAACAATTTCCAATCATTTACAAGCAATGGGAAAGATTTTAAAGGAAGGAAAATGGTTACCAGATCAACTGAACAGACAACAAATGAAAAACTGAAAAGTTATCAGCAAAATGTTGCTTCAACAGCACAAAAGAAAGTCTTTTTTTTGCATCAAATTGTGACTGGTGATAAAAAGTGGATTTATTTTGAAAATATCAAATGCACAAAATCATGGATTGATCCAGGTCAACAATCAACATTAACTAAAGTCCATATTGCTTCAGAAAGAAGACAATGCTTTATGTTTGATGGGATCAGGAAGGTGTGGTGTATTATGAGCTTCTAGAACCAGGTGAAACCGTTAATACTGATTGCTACCAACAACAATTGATCAATTTGAACCATGAGTTGATTGTGAAATGGCCAGAATGTGCCAGAAGACATGACAAAGTAACTTTGCTTCCTGATGATGCACCATCACACACTTCAAAACCAGTTAAAGACACGTTAAAAGGTCTTGCCTGGGAAATATTAATGCACCCGCTGTGTTCACCATACATTGCTCCTTCAGAACACCACTTGTTCTAATCGATGGCACACACACTTTCTGATCAGTATTTCAAAATGTTTGAAGAAGTGGAAAATTGGGTCTCTGAATGGTTTGCTTCAAACCAAGAGAAGTTCTATTGCAATGATATCCACAAATTACTTGAAAGAGGAAAAAAATGTGTAACTAGCAACGGACGTTACTTAGAATAAAGAACTTTTAAAAATATATATATATATCTTATTGATTTTTTACAGAGAGGAACAGAGAGGGATAGAAAGTTAGAAACATTGATGAGAGAGAAACATTGACCAGCTGCCTCTTGCACACTCCCAACCGGGGATGCACCCGCAACCAAGGTACATGCCCTTGACTGGAATTGAACTTGGGACCCTTCAGTCTGCAGGCCAACGCTCTATCCACTGAGCCAAACCGGTTTTGACAGAATAAAGCACTTTTCATGTTTCTCTTGAAACTGTCGTGTTTTCTTTGATTATAAAATCCACATTATTAATCGGTACAGCTAGTACTTACTCAACTATCTCTGCTTTTGTGTATCACCTGTAAGTGCCTTTATTATTATTGGTCAACTCCTAGTTGCTAGGATAATCATGCTAAAATACTGTTTGCAACTATTATCATGTTGTTTGTATACATAAATAATTTATCACTTCTTGTCATATCCCACCTAAACCATGTAACCTAGAATTCAAAATTCTATCTAATCTTGAATTATAATATATGTATTAAATGTGTGGATTATGAATATTCTGATTCAACCAGAGTAATCTGTATACAGCCTCTCCATGCCTCTTTTGTCATCAGATTACCATTCCAGCTCCTTCTCCCATGATGTTCACCTCCATTCAAAACTAGCCTACTTTGTATTCAGCTAACATACTATAAAGTCATACCAGGCTTCATTTTTATGTCAACCTGACTGATTACTCTCTGACTTTGGTTACTGTATTCCCTCACTGTGTATGTTTTCAATTTGGACTGAATTTATACCAAAGTTCAGATGGATCTTTCAAATTGAACTTCACTGGGTAGGTGCATCTTGGTGGTAACACCATAAACTAAATGCTCTTGTGTTTCTTTTTACAAGGGTACCAATCTCACCATCAGGTCCTCATCTAAACCTAATTATTCCCCCATAGGCTCCAACTCCAAAAACCATCAAAATATGAATTAGCAGGGAGATGGGGAGTTCAGTTCAGAGCAGGGGGTCATACCTCTAAGGATGATGCTAAACAAGCATTGAAAATCCTTGTTCTTCAGTGCCCTTTCTATTCCTATAGTCAGTATCATTCATATCACCTTTGAAAAGTATTTTTTAGATAGAATTATTAGGTTTCAGATTTTTATTCTGTTTTCACATTTCAATCTATTTCTCTTTGGCATTCACATCTAATAGCCTTGATTTAACTTGGGTGTGCTCAAAACTTCCCAAGCCATACATTTGCAGACAATCTCATCCATTACATTCTTTAAAAATAGTACTTAATTATTTTTTTTTTCTGATTGAAAAATAACATTTCAATTACAGAAAATTTAGAACACAGGAAAGTACAAGAAAGGAAACAGAAAGTACTCATAGTGTAAATACCCATTTTATTCAGATTCTTTTAAATTTTACCCTTGCAGATCTGAAAAAATGTGTTATTTTCATAAAAAGATATTCTCTATTAAGTTAGTTGGGCAAAAGTTAACATAAATGCATACACTTGAGCTTTGTAAAGATATATAGATTGATGAATATTTATTGTATATAATGAATGTTAAGCTTTCCAAAAATTTTTATTCACCTGTTCCAATATTCATTTTTCAATAAATAAAATAAAAATCCTTACTGTCATGGAGCTTATGTTTTAAAATCCATTCATTTACTCATTCAAATACACTTAAAAACATGTCTGCTATATGCAGATCGTTTAACTTTTAGAGTTCCCTGCTTTTTTTGATGTTTTTCCTCCCCTTTCTTTTGCTTTTTGTTGGGGCTGGCCTGTTTCTCCCCCTCTTTCATCAATTTTCTCACATTTGTTGAATCTGGGTTTAGACATGTTTGAGTCTCATTCTTCATTGTAGCAAATTCTTCCCAAAGAAGAACTTGGGGTAAACTGCTTAAGATCCTTTAAGGATTTTAGGTGGATCATCCCTTGGTTGACATTGACGCAGAAGCAGTGTCCTTTCTTCATTATTGGGACTCGATTCTTCTCTCATGGACCCCAGAACCAAACACATTGGGAGACATGGCACTGCTGCCCACCAGAAGTCAGTTCAAAGGCCCTGCCTCTTAGATGTCCAGGATGGCATGTTCCCTGGGAATACTTTCTTGAATCCCAGACTCGGTCCGGTCCTCTCCCATATGCTCTCATGCCACCTGGCACACCTGCCCTGGTCCATCCCATTTCCAAGGCCTCGTTAAGTTTATCTGGAATCCTATGGTTAACATCCCTTCCTGCCACAACGAGGGAGGCATTGGAGAATCTACGCTGAGCACAGGGCCTGGCACACAGTAGGTGCTCAGCAGACATGTGGGCAGGAGCGAGCCTGCTAGGTGCCAACTGAACCAAGGATCCCAGTCTGGCTTCGCACTGCTCCTGCGAAGCACTGCCCCGCTCCCTGGGGGCCGAGATGCGTTCGGCACATGCCCAGCCAGCCAATGGGGGCCCAG